TCTGCCGCTGGTTACAGAGGAGGTAACTACCTGGCACCCGTCAGTCTGCCGCTGGTTACAGAGGAGGTAACTACCTGGCACCCGTCAGTCTGCCGCTGGTTACAGAGGAGGTAACTACCTGGCACCCGTCAGTCTGCCGCTGGTTACAGAGGAGGTAACTACCTGGCACCCGTCAGTCTGCCGCTGGTTACAGAGGAGGTAACTACCTGGCACCCGTCAGTCTGCCGCTGGTTACAGAGGAGGTAACTACCTGGCACCCGTCAGTCTGCCGCTGGTTACAGAGGAGGTAACTACCTGGCACCCGTCAGTCTGCCGCTGGTTACAGAGGAGGTAACTACCTGGCACCCGTCAGTCTGCCGCTGGTTACAGAGGAGGTAACTACCTGGCACCCGTCAGTCTGCCGCTGGTTACAGAGGAGGTAACTACCTGGCACCCGTCAGTCTGCCGCTGGTTACAGAGGAGGTAACTACCTGGCACCCGTCAGTCTGCCGCTGGTTACAGAGGAGGTAACTACCTGGCACCCGTCAGTCTGCCGCTGGTTACAGAGGAGGTAACTACCTGGCACCCGTCAGTCTGCCGCTGGTTACAGAGGAGGTAACTACCTCGCACCCGTCAGTCTGCCGCTGGTTACAGAGGAGGTAACTACCTGGCACCCGTCAGTCTGCCGCTGGTTACAGAGGAGGTAACTACCTGGCACCCGTCAGTCTGCCGCTGGTTACAGAGGAGGTAACTACCTGGCACCCGTCAGTCTGCCGCTGGTTACAGAGGAGGTAACTACCTGGCACCCGTCAGTCTGCCGCTGGTTACAGAGGAGGTAACTACCTGGCACCCGTCAGTCTGCCGCTGGTTACAGAGGAGGTAACTACCTGGCACCCGTCAGTCTGCCGCTGGTTACAGAGGAGGTAACTACCTGGCACCCGTCAGTCTGCCGCTGGTTACAGAGGAGGTAACTACCTGGCACCCGTCAGTCTGCCGCTGGTTACAGAGGAGGTAACTACCTGGCACCCGTCAGTCTGCCGCTGGTTACAGAGGAGGTAACTACCTGGCACCCGTCAGTCTGCCGCTGGTTACAGAGGAGGTAACTACCTGGCACCCGTCAGTCTGCCGCTGGTTACAGAGGAGGTAACTACCTGGCACCCGTCAGTCTGCCGCTGGTTACAGAGGAGGTAACTACCTGGCACCCGTCAGTCTGCCGCTGGTTACAGAGGAGGTAACTACCTGGCACCCGTCAGTCTGCCGCTGGTTACAGAGGAGGTAACTACCTGGCACCCGTCAGTCTGCCGCTGGTTACAGAGGAGGTAACTACCTGGACTCATTAAAGTCCACCGACTCCCACTGATGACTGCTGTCGTTGTGTCCTTGGGCAAGACACTTAACCCCACTTTGCCCAAAGCTCCCACTGAAAGATCAAGGCTATGCTCACACTCAGAGAGCAGCCGTCCTCCTGTGGACTCACCACCTGCAGAGGGTCAGTGAGGGGCTGGTGCTATGAGACTTGGGTGGCATCTCTGACTGCCACCCCCCTGACCCAGAAATGGATTAAAGGGAAGAACATATATTAAACTAATGTCTGTTTCCAGGAGGCGGTTTCATGAGTCCAGCCACTTCCTCTGCTTTGACCCCGCCCCCTATCAATACGCCCTCTCAGACCACACCCCCTCGGACCCCGCCCCCTCGGACCCCGCCCCCTCGGACCCCGCCCCCTCGGACCCCGCCTACAGCCCCTGAGCAGACCCCCCCCGTGGTCATGAAGCCTCCAGCTCCAGGTGAGAGATGTTTGTTTTCACCACTTTCTGCAGGGCACCTCCTCATCAGCAGGAGAACCACCTCCTCATCAGCAGGAGAACCACCTCCTCATCACCAGGAGAACCACCTCCTCGTCACCAGGAGAACCACCTCCTCGTCACCAGGAGAACCACCTCCTCGTCACCAGGAGAACCACCTCCTCGTCAGCAGGAGAACCACCTCCTCGTCACCAGGAGAACCACCTCCTCGTCACCAGGAGAACCACCTCCTCGTCACCAGGAGAACCACCTCCTCGTCAGCAGGAGAACCACCTCCTCGTCACCAGGAGAACCACCTCCTCGTCACCAGGAGAACCACCTCCTCGTCAGCAGGAGAACCACCTCCTCATCAGCAGGAGAACCACCTCCTCGTCACCAGGAGAACCACCTCCTCGTCACCAGGAGAACCACCTCCTCGTCACCAGGAGAACCACCTCCTCGTCAGCAGGAGAACCACCTCCTCGTCACCAGGAGAACCACCTCCTCGTCACCAGGAGAACCACCTCCTCGTCACCAGGAGAACCACCTCCTCATCAGCAGGAGAACCACCTCCTCGTCAGCAGGAGAACCACCTCCTCATCACCAGGAGAACCACCTCCTCGTCAGCAGGAGAACCACCTCCTCGTCAGCAGGAGAACCACCTCCTCGTCACCAGGAGAACCACCTCCTCGTCACCAGGAGAACCACCTCCTCGTCACCAGGAGAACCACCTCCTCGTCAGACCCTCAGACCCTCAGACCTCAGACCTCAGACCCTCAGACCTCAGACCTCAGACCCTCAGACCCTCAGACCCTCAGACCTCAGACCCTCAGACCTCAGACCCTCAGACCCTCAGACCTCAGACCCTCAGACCTCAGACCCTCAGACCTCAGACCCTCAGACCCTCAGACCTCAGACCCTCAGACCTCAGACCTCAGACCCTCAGACCTCAGACCCTCAGACCCTCAGACCCTCAGACCTCAGACCCTCAGACCTCAGACCCTCAGACCCTCAGACCCTCAGACCTCAGACCTCAGACCCTCAGACCCTCAGACCTCAGACCTCAGACCCTCAGACCCTCAGACCTCAGACCTCAGACCCTCAGACCTCAGACCCTCAGACCCTCAGACCCTCAGACCTCAGACCCTCAGACCTCAGACCCTCAGACCCTCAGACCCTCAGACCCTCAGACCCTCAGACCCTCAGACCACCTCAGACCCTCAGACCCTCAGACCCTCAGACCTCAGACCCTCAGACCCTCAGACCTCAGACCCTCAGACCTCAGACCCTCAGACCCTCAGACCTCAGACCCTCAGACCCTCAGACCTCAGACCCTCAGACCCTCAGACCCTCAGACCCTCAGACCCTCAGACCTCAGACCCTCAGACCTCAGACCCTCAGACCCTCAGACCTCAGACCTCAGACCTCAGACCTCAGACCCTCAGACCCTCAGACCCTCAGACCCTCAGACCTCAGACCCTCAGACCTCAGACCCTCAGACCCTCAGACCCTCAGACCTCAGACCCTCAGACCTCAGACCCTCAGACCCTCAGACCTCAGACCTCAGACCCTCAGACCTCAGACCCTCAGACCTCAGACCTCAGACCTCAGACCTCAGACCCTCAGACCTCAGACCTCAGACCTCAGACCTCAGACCCTCAGACCTCAGACCTCAGACCTCAGACCTCAGACCTCAGACCCTCAGACCTCAGACCCTCAGACCTCAGACCCTCAGACCTCAGACCCTCAGACCCTCAGACCCTCAGACCCTCAGACCCTCAGACCCTCAGACCCTCAGACCTCAGACCCTCAGACCCTCAGACCCTCAGACCCTCAGACCTCAGACCCTCAGACCCCTCAGACCCTCAGACCCTCAGACCCTCAGACCCTCAGACCCTCAGACCTCAGACCTCAGACCCAGACCTCAGACCTCAGACCCTCAGACCCTCAGACCTCAGACCTCAGACCCTCAGACCCTCAGACCTCAGACCCTCAGACCTCAGACCTCAGACCTCAGACCTCAGACCTCAGACCCTCAGACCTCAGACCCTCAGACCTCAGACCTCAGACCCTCAGACCCAGACCTCAGACCCTCAGACCTCAGACCCTCAGACCTCAGACCCTCAGACCTCAGACCTCAGACCCTCAGACCCTCAGACCTCAGACCCTCAGACCTCAGACCTCAGACCCTCAGACCTCAGACCTCAGACCTCAGACCCTCAGACCCTCAGACCTCAGACCCTCAGACCTCAGACCTCAGACCTCAGACCTCAGACCCTCAGACCCTCAGACCTCAGACCTCAGACCCTCAGACCCTCAGACCTCAGACCCTCAGACCCTCAGACCCTCAGACCTCAGACCCTCAGACCCTCAGACCTCAGACCCTCAGACCCTCAGACCTCAGACCCTCAGACCTCAGACCCTCAGACCTCAGACCCTCAGACCCTCAGACCTCAGACCCTCAGACCTCAGACCCTCAGACCCTCAGACCTCAGACCCTCAGACCTCAGACCCTCAGACCTCAGACCCTCAGACCCTCAGACCTCAGACCCTCAGACCTCAGACCCTCAGACCTCAGACCTCAGACCCTCAGACCTCAGACCCTCAGACCCTCAGACCCTCAGACCCTCAGACCTCAGACCCTCAGACCTCAGACCCTCAGACCTCAGACCCTCAGACCCTCAGACCTCAGACCCTCAGACCCTCAGACCTCAGACCCTCAGACCCTCAGACCTCAGACCCTCAGACCCTCAGACCTCAGACCCTCAGACCCTCAGACCTCAGACCCTCAGACCCTCAGACCTCAGACCCTCAGACCTCAGACCTCAGACCTCAGACCCTCAGACCTCAGACCTCAGACCCTCAGACCTCAGACCTCAGACCTCAGACCCTCAGACCTCAGACCCTCAGACCTCAGACCCTCAGACCTCAGACCTCAGACCCTCAGACCCTCAGACCCTCAGACCTCAGACCTCAGACCTCAGACCTCAGACCTCAGACCCTCAGACCTCAGACCTCAGACCCTCAGACCCTCAGACCTCAGACCCTCAGACCCTCAGACCTCAGACCCTCAGACCTCAGACCTCAGACCCTCAGACCCTCAGACCTCAGACCCTCAGACCCTCAGACCTCAGACCCTCAGACCCTCAGACCTCAGACCTCAGACCCTCAGACCCTCAGACCTCAGACCCTCAGACCTCAGACCTCAGACCCTCAGACCCTCAGACCTCAGACCCTCAGACCCTCAGACCCAGACCTCAGACCTCAGACCTCAGACCCTCAGACCTCAGACCTCAGACCTCAGACCCTCAGACCTCAGACCCTCAGACCCTCAGACCTCAGACCCTCAGACCTCAGACCTCAGACCTCAGACCCTCAGACCTCAGACCCTCAGACCCTCAGACCTCAGACCCTCAGACCCTCAGACCTCAGACCTCAGACCCTCAGACCTCAGACCTCAGACCCTCAGACCTCAGACCCTCAGACCCTCAGACCTCAGACCTCAGACCTCAGACCCTCAGACCTCAGACCTCAGACCCTCAGACCTCAGACCCTCAGACCTCAGACCCTCAGACCCTCAGACCTCAGACCTCAGACCTCAGACCCTCAGACCTCAGACCTCAGACCTCAGACCCTCAGACCCTCAGACCTCAGACCCTCAGACCTCAGACCTCAGACCCTCAGACCTCAGACCCTCAGACCTCAGACCCTCAGACCTCAGACCTCAGACCCTCAGACCTCAGACCTCAGACCTCAGACCCTCAGACCTCAGACCCTCAGACCTCAGACCTCAGACCCTCAGACCCTCAGACCTCAGACCCTCAGACCTCAGACCCTCAGACCCTCAGACCTCAGACCCTCAGACCCTCAGACCTCAGACCCTCAGACCTCAGACCTCAGACCCTCAGACCTCAGACCTCAGACCTCAGACCCTCAGACCTCAGACCCTCAGACCTCAGACCTCAGACCCTCAGACCTCAGACCTCAGACCCTCAGACCTCAGACCCTCAGACCTCAGACCCTCAGACCTCAGACCTCAGACCTCAGACCCTCAGACCTCAGACCCTCAGACCCTCAGACCTCAGACCCTCAGACCTCAGACCTCAGACCCTCAGACCTCAGACCCTCAGACCCTCAGACCTCAGACCTCAGACCTCAGACCTCAGACCCTCAGACCCTCAGACCCTCAGACCTCAGACCCTCAGACCCTCAGACCTCAGACCCTCAGACCTCAGACCTCAGACCCTCAGACCTCAGACCTCAGACCTCAGACCCTCAGACCTCAGACCCTCAGACCTCAGACCCTCAGACCTCAGACCCTCAGACCTCAGACCCTCAGACCCTCAGACCTCAGACCCTCAGACCCTCAGACCTCAGACCCTCAGACCCTCAGACCTCAGACCTCAGACCTCAGACCCTCAGACCCTCAGACCCTCAGACCTCAGACCCTCAGACCTCAGACCTCAGACCTCAGACCTCAGACCCTCAGACCCTCAGACCCTCAGACCTCAGACCCTCAGACCTCAGACCTCAGACCTCAGACCCTCAGACCTCAGACCCTCAGACCCTCAGACCTCAGACCCTCAGACCTCAGACCTCAGACCCTCAGACCTCAGACCCTCAGACCTCAGACCTCAGACCCTCAGACCCTCAGACCCTCAGACCTCAGACCTCAGACCCTCAGACCTCAGACCCTCAGACCTCAGACCTCAGACCTCAGACCCTCAGACCCTCAGACCCTCAGACCCTCAGACCCTCAGACCTCAGACCCTCAGACCCTCAGACCCTCAGACCTCAGACCCTCAGACCTCAGACCCTCAGACCTCAGACCCTCAGACCTCAGACCCTCAGACCCTCAGACCCTCAGACCCTCAGACCTCAGACCCTCAGACCCTCAGACCTCAGACCCTCAGACCCTCAGACCCTCAGACCTCAGACCCTCAGACCTCAGACCTCAGACCTCAGACCTCAGACCCTCAGACCTCAGACCCTCAGACCTCAGACCCTCAGACCTCAGACCTCAGACCCTCAGACCTCAGACCTCAGACCCTCAGACCCTCAGACCTCAGACCCTCAGACCTCAGACCTCAGACCCTCAGACCTCAGACCCTCAGACCTCAGACCTCAGACCCTCAGACCCTCAGACCCTCAGACCTCAGACCCTCAGACCCTCAGACCCTCAGACCCTCAGACCTCAGACCTCAGACCCTCAGACCCTCAGACCCTCAGACCCTCAGACCTCAGACCCTCAGACCCTCAGACCCTCAGACCTCAGACCCTCAGACCCTCAGACCTCAGACCCTCAGACCCTCAGACCCTCAGACCTCAGACCTCAGACCTCAGACCCTCAGACCTCAGACCTCAGACCCTCAGACCTCAGACCTCAGACCTCAGACCCTCAGACCTCAGACCTCAGACCCTCAGACCCTCAGACCTCAGACCCTCAGACCTCAGACCCTCAGACCTCAGACCCTCAGACCTCAGACCTCAGACCTCAGACCTCAGACCCTCAGACCTCAGACCTCAGACCCTCAGACCTCAGACCCTCAGACCCCTCAGACCCTCAGACCCTCAGACCCTCAGACCCTCAGACCCTCAGACCCAGACCCTCAGACCCTCAGACCTCAGACCTCAGACCCTCAGACCTCAGACCTCAGACCCTCAGACCCTCCTCACCCTCAGACCTCCTCAGACCCTCAGACCCTCAGACCTCAGACCCTCAGACCTCAGACCAGAC